CTGTATTTGATGAAATAGGATATGGATGAAATCGGATAGGGATGAAATCGTTTAGGGATGAACGGGTTTAGGGATAGCTTTAACAAGTTGTACCATTACCAATAGATGTTGTCTTTAAGAGTTTAAGAGTTTTTAAGAGTTTTAGCCAAATGTTTTATAATATAGTATATATATAGGGACATAATCAAATGTTAACCAAAGTTTTTGTATTAAATTTGCAAACCATGTCAACCAATCACAATCCATTATTCTATTAGGTTTCTATCATGTTCACAATTTAATGCTAATGGTAATTGAGTAATTTCATTTCCTATGTAACTCCCATACCATTAAAGGGGAGTTACAAAATCATAAAATCCCTAAAAATACACATTTATAATATTAATATTTTTATTTATTTTTTAATCTTGATCTTCCATTTTTATTGTTTAATGAGTTTTTGATTCGTGGAGGAAACACGGTAGTAAAATCTTCGGTATCGTTCAAGCTATTATGGATAAACGAATTAGCAAAAAAATCGAAAACATTGAGAAGATTAAAATGGTTTTGTGGTGACAATCGGATTTCGAGTTCGGGAAGTGAAGAAATTAACCAAAGTGAATGTCTTGGTAATGAATTAATATTTTATTAGACTCGTTTTAATCGAGATTATGTTTATTATGATATGTTGTGTTTTTTGTAGTTCATATTGCATTGATAACTTTTTTTAACTATTAATACCTACCTAATTCACATGTTCAAATGGAAGTACATGCACGACTCATTTTCATATTGTCATATTACCGACTTTTATGAATCATGAACCATTGTGTTCATGTTACTTATATCATATGAACACAAGTGTTATTTTTTAAGCATGATACCATATCTTTATATTTGTGTAAGTGTTTGCACCCGATGTTCATTGCATCGGGGTTATGTGTTCATATATTTTATATGATATGAACAAGAGGTGAACAAGAGGTGAACACGATATGAACAAGGGTTGAACAACCACATAAGACCAGAAACAAACACCATATATATATATATATATGTGATGATATGATACAAGGTTTTTGACATTACAGGACGACATTGTTCCAAATAAATTGTAAAAGCACAAGCAAAGTAATGTTCACTTTTAAATAGGACTTATTTTGGAGATGTTTGCAGCATACGAATCACTTTCTCCATGTTAACCATGGATGAACCGTACGGAAAGGCACATGCCTCTTCAGCCTT